TTTTTAGTTTTTCGAGACAGGGTTTCTCTGTAGCTTTGGAGCCTATCCTGGCACTAGCTCTTGTAGACCAGGCTGGCCTCGAACTCACAGAGATCCACCTGCCTCTGCCTCCCGAGTGCTGGGATTAAAGGCGTGCGCCACCACCGCCCGGCTTGTTAAAGGCAGGATCTCGCTGTGCCTTGAGCTCATGATTCTCCTGCCTCTGTCTCCTGAGTGCTGGGATTCATGTGTCTGCCCTCACCTGACTATTACTTGCTCTGTTTAACTCTATCTGAGCTGTTGTTCCTCTCATAGCATTCATGCAGCTTCCGTCAGGACAGCTGTGCTGTATCTGTTTACACAGCTGTCTTACTGCCGCCCCTTCCCCCCCATGAAATCCCCAGCAGCAGTGTTCCATCACTTTCATCTCAGCAGCTCAGGACTAGCCACTCTTGTCTCAGAGTAGGCCTTTATAAATGAACAAACAAAAATATGGGTCACTATAATTACTCCTTTTTTCTTCAGTAAATTCTCTAGCTATGTTCTTTCTAAATCTTTTATGTTGTGTATTATTTTTTTTTAACAAAACTGATTTAGGCTTGAAACAGCTCAATGTTAGAGCAAATACTTAGTATGAAGGATGTCTTGAGTTCAGTACCCAGCATACTGAGATAGCAGGGCAGGAGGTGGGTAAGTGTTTCTGTTTAATTTTATGAAAATACTTCCATTGTTATATTAAATCATTAGTTTTTCTTTAAAAACGTCAAGGCAAGACAAAAATAAGTGCTTTAAACATGATTTGTCACTGTTGATACTGTTTTGACTTGTTTGAAATGTACTTGACAATAAACAAGCATGGACCTATAGCACATAAGAAAGTCTCTCTACTGTCAAATTCCTATAACCTTTGTAATGTCTCCTTCTTTACCTCCTTTTCCACCTCCTCCTCTTTTTTTATCTTTTTAATCTTCCTACCCCATCTTCGCCTAAGACTGTAAAGAGAAATTATTAAATGCTAATAGTTTCTTGTAGGCAATTTAAGAGACATTTAAGTGATACACACGCACACACAGACACTCTTCTTTTTTCCCCCTGTGGTTTTCAGGGAAAATGCTGCAAAGTGATACGTGGCAATAACAAATTCGTAAGGAAGTGAAGGGAATATGAAATTCTGCTAGCAGCGTGAATGATTTGCTGTTAGCATGGGGCCTAATAACACTACAAAGCTATAAACTCTGTCGATCTAGATTGCCCAGTTAGGTGGCAGCGATGCAATTTGTCTTTTCTGAAGCTACCTGCTGCTTGCTAGCTCCATCTCCTGTCACAGCCTATTAGCTCCCCAAGAAAATTGGTAGGAAATTGCCTACAGATTGTAGGAAATTGCATCTCCAGGCCCTGGAAAAAATGTAGGCTAGAACAACACTGACCCTCCCAGAGCAGCTATTAATACAGCAGAAACTGCCCTTTGACTTTCTGGGAAACGACTTTGCTATTTGTTAAATAAAGCCTGTATTACATGTGGCTGAAGGAGGGTGCAAATGATTATCCTAGTGAAGACTCATTGCTGGTCTGCTTTGGAGACCTTAAATATTAGTTAGAAGCTGTTGTTTGGTTTGGGTTTTGATTTGTTTGTTTTAGGTAAGGAGGGTTTTTGCACTGGACCACTGCAGGGAGAAAACAATTCAGCCAGTTTTCTTTAGCAAACACTTTTTTTTTCTGTGTTAAAAAGCAAGAAGTAAATTATGGCAAGGAAATGTTCAGGAGTCTCTGAGGTAAAAGTCCAGGAAGTCCATGTTTCAAAGATGTGATTTAAAAACAGAGCCAGCACATTTGAGCCTGTTCTTTCTCCTTCTGTGCTCCTGTGTACACATACAGACTTTTTTCTCCCCTTCCTAATTGCATTTTACAATTTCATCTATTTCTACTCACTTCTGAGCTTTTTTTCTTTATAGACTATCCCTACTTGTTCAGACATTAAGATAATTCACTCTTTAGCTGGGTTATATATCATGCGTATGTTAAGTATCATCAAATTTATGTTACAACAAATAAAAAGATGAATAAATAAATAAATCTCCTGATATGGTATTTACAGGCTAACACTTCTCCTGAACAAGATCGGAGCTCCCCACCAACTCCAGCCAGACTGGGAAGGAACAAGCATAGGACCAAACTAGTCCCTCTGAGTGTGGTTGACAAGTTTTTGGCTGGGGCAGACTGAGGGGCCACTGGTAGTGGCACTGGGATTTGTCTCTACTGCAGTACTGGCTTTTTGGGATCCTATTCTCTTTGGATGTATACCTTGCTTAGCCTAGATGTAGTAGGGAGGGCCTTGGACCCTCCACAAAGCAAAGTTCCTTACTCTCTTTTAAGATTAGAGGTGGTGGGGTGAGAGGGTGTGTGGAGGGAGTGGGAGGAGGGGTGGGAGTGGGAATTTGGATTGGTATTTTTTAAAAAAAAATCTAATAAATTTAAAAAGATGACAAAAAAAAGATCTGAGCTCCTATTTCAAAGCCATATTTGGCACAACAGAACAGTGACTTAGCTGATCCTGACTGGGG